CGGCATTATAAGAAAAATTGTCAACTAGTCAATATGTTGACTAAAAATTCATAATTACAATCACGAAACTGTATGTGATAAAAAACTTTTCTCATCAAATATTTGGGATACTGTGGCTACTCCCAAATATATAATGTAAAAGTGAAATTTTTAGCATGGCATCTTGTTATTTGTCAATAGTCAAAAAACTTTACGTTGACTAAATTTCATTGAACTTTCCTTTCCTTTTATAATCACTTAATCTTATGTGATTAAAGTTATTTACACCGTATATTTAAAATGATGTGACTATTCCCAAATAAACGATGAAACAAAACTTCTAATGAAAATTCATAGAAAATAAGTAGTCAACTCGTTGACTAGAAATCCTTGATTTTAATCACTAAGATCAAAGTTATAGTACATCAATCTTTGAGATGCTATGGCTACTCTCAAACATAAAGTGTACTAGACTTTATAAGGATAGCAAAATAGTCAAAAATCTGTATTTTGACAAAAGAATTTCATAATTTTCCTTTTTTTCTTATATTCATTTTTTTTAACCACCAGCCTTTATGTGATTAAAATACTTCATGCATCAAATAATTGAGATGCTAGACACACTTTGTAAAGGAAATTCTCTGAAATTTAAATATAACCAACTATGCTAATGTTGACATTATAATATGAGATAAATGAACACAAGTGTGGTGCACAAAATACTACATAATTTCAAGTAACAATAGGAACATGGAGGCAAACTCATTGAAATCATACCTTCAGATATTTATCTCATAATAAGGTAGCAAAGATTCAATAAACCTCTAGATCCATTCATATAAAGTTAACCAATTATCTTGCATAGATTAATATGATATTAATCTTTTGATTGTTGAATATAACAACTCTTTATATGTTTCTCGAATTGTTATATTGTATTGATAATAACAATTAATACATATAACCCTTATAATCACAAATATGTAAGTCCAAGAAACATTCAAATTACTTGCAATTATATCAGATTATTGGAGAAAATCTGGATGAATTGCATAACCAAATAAGGTATGATATGAATGATACATATACATAGGATTAGTCAATAAATCTCAATTATTGAGAAAATAGACCATAGATCCCATGGCAAATTAAATTCGATTCGTTTAAACTTGATACGAATCTCTAAAACTTTTATCAGATTGCCAATAAACCATGAAATTATGAGTTGAACAACATGGTTAGAGGTTGGCTCTGATACCACATGTTAAACTAACTATGTACATGCGAATGTACTACGCAGCGAAAATTTAAATATACTTACCTCTAACCATTATTGTCAAGCACAATTGATCTCTTCTTGTATCTTTGACTCCTTCTTGTCTATTCTAACAATACAAAATATGTAAAAGAAGGAAAAGTAGAAAGAGAATTTAGAGTAAGGATCTTCTAGCCTATGCCTAACCCAAAAGTGTGTAATTGATGGAATATTACAAGCTATTTATGGGTTAGGCAAGGGACCCTTACTGGCAAATACAAAAATCCTTAGGGTTTTCTTCCATCAAGGAAATCTTGCCAAAATTCATAACTGAAATTAATAGTTTCTGACTAATTGATTGATTCGATTGATTAACTGATTGAATAAGATATCAATTAACAATAGGTATCAATCAATCACTAATAAATGAAATATACTGATTAATTATTGACAAAATGTCAATCAATTAATCAGGATACCAATCACCAATCATTGCCTAAATGGGAGATACTAATTAATTGTCAATCAATTAATTAGAATATCAACCAATCATGTGGGTCATAATTTGCCTCTAAAGGAGGTAAGTCTTACAACTTAATGAATACAATGTTATTAGAAATGGAATTCAAGCCATTTATCTAAAATCACTAGCAACAGAAACACTACCTTTATTCTAGCATTGCCATTAGATAATGAGATTTAAAGAGTAACAATAGATTATTAAGTGATTGTGAGCACTAATACTTTGTGTACAACATTACCCATTAATGTATTAAACGTGAGGTTGAACATATGATGAGTTATATTCTTAATGAAATATAATTGCTTATCTTCCATAAAATGAGACTCGCTAAATAATTAGGATCATTGTCTACTTGTAATAGGTTGAGGAATGCTATGCAAGTGTTGTCAAAAAGAATTAAGAGATGGAAAGAAGAATATCAGGAGGTTGGCAAGTTCACATTCAATAATTTTAGACTTTAAATTTACTTTTTTGAATCAAACAAAGAATAGCAAAGCCAAAAGTATTCCAAATCAACCTCGTTCTAGTACTAGGGATTTAACTAAGATATGTTTCAACTCCATATGAAAAAATATGATGCCATTTTAAGAAGACATTGTTCTAATTTTCAAAATAGTTCTAGTTGCCTCTGAGAATTGATGAGAAGTAGGCATAACTAAAATAGATTCATTGGTCAAGATTATTTCTGGAGCCATCTTGTCAACCTTTCTTCCTTTTAAGGAGAAATTCAAGCTATCCCAGCTAAGTATAGTAGAAGTATAATTTGATATGTTTCTTATTTAAAAAAAATGATTGAAGCGTTGTTCAATTTGATGATGGTGAGAAGCTAGTATGAGAAAAATACTGAACTAATATACTAAAATGCAAGTAAGAATGAGTTTCATTACCTATAATCTACTAGTATAGGATAAGTAATGAGCTTTCCAACTAGAAATCCTTTTATTTCTAGATTTCAATAATGATTAACAGTGCTCTATCATAAGCCTTGAAGAGAGTAAGAGAGTTGAAAACCTTTTTCCAAAAATTTGCAGTTTCTAGGGATGTGGCCTAATTTCGACTATAGTGTTTCAATAACAGATAGAAGATTTATATAGATTAGCAAACAAATCTAAAGTCATTATTAAATAAGAAGAGAATATGTTGCAATATGATTTCTGACTAGATAATTGCCCGTAAAAACAAGAAGAATCATCAACAAAGGCGAGGTGAATTACCCTAGGTCTAGGTAAAATTGATAAGCCTGTATTGCTTGATTAAGAATAGTATCTTCTAAAGTGTCAGAGAAATTTTGCAGTAAAAGAATGAATAAATAGGAGGACATTAGATAAAAGTCTTATTTTTTAACTATCGTTTTCAAGCCACATTACGAGTTCATGAAATCCATCGTTGACTTATTCCTTCATGACAACCTAAAGTGAGGATTATGCTCATAAGAAAATCTATCAAATCATTTGTGATCATAAGGATATAACCAGTTTTCGCATGTTTAGCTATCGTTTTTACCCCTCTGTTGCAATCATACAAAACCTATGTGTTGACTAAGTTTTCTTAAGAAATAAGGGTGACAAACTCTTTGCTTTCACTAAGATGTGATGTTGAATGGATTACATACAATTTTGGGCACAAAAATAAGATAAATCTTGAACTCCCATTTCCCTTTCCATTTCCAAATCAGAAATAACGCCCACTTGATTGGTCCTGCAAGTGGTGACCCGTTACCCTAAGCACCAATTCTAAAGTGAGGAAGAAATCTTTTGTAATTTGGTATTATTTTGAGAAATTCATCATGAAATTTTCTGTTAGGAAACATAGTGTTCAAATAAATGGAGAGTCATCCAAACAAATGTTTACAGTCAAAGGAACCCGCACTGGGGCAAATTTTCATTTGAGAGATTTTGCAAAATGGGCCCATACTGGGGCAAATTTTCATTTGTAAGATTTCACACAATAAGCCCACACTGGGGCAAAATTTTTATAGTCCATTTGAGGATTTCGTCAAAGAGTCAAGCAAGACTTTCAAATCAATCACACTGCTCCTTCCATGAGTAGTAGTTGCAATATTTAAAATAAAGTGCATGTTGTATTTTGGCAAGCCCCTGTGCAGGTATCCATGCTGAAATCGAGGAAGAAGCGTAAGTCAGAATCTTACGAATCAAGGCCTCAAGGAGGAGCAACCATGCCGTAATGCAAATCAATTGATCGGTTGCACAATAATTGGTGGAAACTGGGGCAAATTATTTTTTTGAAAAGATTCTCAAAAAATCAAACTTGAATTTAATTTCTTGTTCCTTGACAAATTTCAATTTGATCTCAGCGCCCGCTGCGCACCCTTCCATTCCCCATTCTTGACAACCACATTGAATTCACTGACTTCAACCACCGTTAGCATCGAGTCTATCTCACTAACGTGTGCGTTTCATTCAACCATCGTTAGCATCGAGTCTATCTCACTAACGTGTGCATTTTTATTTCACCACCGTTAGCATCGAATCTATCTCACTAACGTGTGCGTTTCATTCAACCACCGTTAGCATCGAGTTTATCTCACTAATGTGTGCGTTTTTATTCCACCATAGCGTGTGTGTTTCTTTTCTTCTACCACCGTTAGCATCGAGTTTATCTCACTAACGTGTGTGTTTTATTCTATCTCCGGCAGGCTCGGGTGTAATCCCACTGACCGATCATCAAGACAGGCTCGGGTTCAATCCCACTGACCGATCACCATGGCAGGCTCGGGTTTAATCTCACTGACCCGTTATTAAGGCAGGCTCGGGTTTAATCCCACTGACCAATTCATCACTGGGGCAATTTTTTTTTGGATGATTTTTCAAGTAAATCTTATATAGTTTTCTCATACATACCAGCATTTTATTTTGCATCGCCACTAGTCGTGGGTCAGTTCCACTAGTGAGCATTTTATTTTGCATCGCCGCTAGCCGTGGGTCAGTCCCACTAGTGAGCATTTTATTTTGCATTTTGTTTTCATCGCCACTGAACATGGGTTAGTCCCACCAGTGTGCATTTTACTTTGGACTCAAAAATATTAGATTTAGGAAAGTACTTGCTTTTCATAACTTTACTCACCAACAAGTTGGGGCAAGTGAGGAGCCGCCATACTTGTTTGGATAGCAAAGCTTCATTAAAGTAGAGTAAGTCCCTAAACCCAAGTCCACCATTCTCTTTCCTATTCGCTAAATTAGTCCATTTCTTCCAATGCATCCTTTTTCGCCCTTGATCATTTCCCTACCAGAATCTGGCCATTATCCCACTTAACTCTTTGCATAGGCTCTTTGATAGTTTGAACACTGACATAGCATAGGATGGGACTGCAAGAGCTACTGATTTGAGCAGAACATCTTTCCCTGCATTACTCAGAAGTTTACCTTTCCAATTCTGGATTCTAGCCATCATATTTTCTTTAATGAACCTGAACACACTGTTTTTGGACCTTCCAACAACTAAAGGTAAGCCCAAGTACTTTTCTTGTGAAACCTGTTGGATTCCTCCTAACTTCTGCAGCATCTCCTCCTTCTTTCTACTGCCTGTGTTTTTGCTGAAAAAGATTGCTGATTTGTTAATGTTAACTTGTTGTCCAGATGCTTTTTCATAGCACTCTAAGATTTCCTTTATATGTCCTGCTTCATCACCATTAGCTTTACAAAAAATAAGGGAATCATCAGCAAAAAATAGATGGGAAACAGATGGGCCTTGTTTTGCAATTTTAACTCCTGTAATTTGTTTGTTTCTGATAGCATTATTTAGGAGGTTAGAGAGCTCTTCAGCACAGAACAGAAACAGGCACGGGGAAAGGGGATCTCCTTGCCTAATCTCTCTAGAAGGACTTACATACCCTCGCTTAACACCATTAACATTGAAAGAGTAAGACACAGAGGAAAGGCAACCATGCATCCATCTAATCCACAGAGGGGCAAACCCCATTTTACTGAGAATGGGTATAAAGAAATTTCCATTTGACTCTGTCATAGGCTTTGGACAAATCAAGCTTAATGGCCATGTACCCATCCCTCCCCTCTCTTTTAGACTTCAACCAATGCATGCACTCGTAAGCTACTATGACATTGTCAAGTATTTGTCTATTTGGGACAAAAAATGCTTGGGAGTAACTAATGCAAGAGTTAAGAAAAGGCTTGAGCCTGTTCACAAGAATCTTGGAAATGATTTTGTAAAAACATTATATAAACTAATAGGCCTAAAGTGAGCAAGGTTGTGAGGATTGTCTATTTTAGGAATAAGGGTATTCAGGGTCTCATTGATAGCTTTAGAGAGGAAACCAGTATGTAAGAAGCCTTGGATAGTATCCACTACATCTACTTTAATGATATTCCAAAACCTTTGGAAGGAAACAGGGGACATACCGTATGGGCCAGGGGATTTGTTTTGGTACATATAGAACACTGCAATTTTGATTTCCTTCTTGGTTACAGGTTTGGTAAGTTGCAGATTCACCTATTCAGTGATAGTCTTGGGAATACCATTTAGTATCTCATCAAATTCTGAAGGCTTCGAAGATGTGAAGAGTTGGTTGTAGAATTGAGCAATTTCCTCTCCTATTTCCTCATCAATTGTACACCACCCTCCCTGGTCTTTCTCAACCTAGATATTCTGTTCCTTTTCCTTCTGCCACTCACACAAGCATGAAAATATGCAGTATTCTTGTCCCCATTTTGAAGCCATTTGGTTCTTGCCCTTTGGTTCCGAAAAAGTTCCTCTTGCTTATAGGCATCAGAAAGCTGCTTCGTAAGCAGTTTAACGGCTTCTTTATTGTTATTCCCATGCCTGGTCTTTGTAGCTTGTATTTCCTCTTTGATCCTTCTAATTTCTATCTTGCTATTTAGATTCAGCGATCTGTTCCAAGCTGAAAGGGTCATTCTGCATTGTTTAATCTTCCTACTGATTCTAAATCCTCTAGACCCCACTTGATTTTTACCCCATGTCTCTTGGATTAGGCCTTCCACTTCCCTGTATTGGAGCTATTTGGGATCAAAATGAAATCTTCTTTTTGGTTTCTTGACCCTAAGCTCTATCTCTAAAAGGAAGATATCGTGATCAGATGCCTCAATCTCAATATGAATCACCCTAGCATCTTTGAATTTTTCACACCAGTCCACACTTGCAAGAGCTCTGTCCAGTCTCTGTTTTATCTAGCCCTTCCCTTCCCAAAGGTTACTTCAAGTCCATGGGAGGCCCTTAAAACAAACATCCAACAACTTATTTTTGTTAACGAAATCTTTGAAATCAGAAAAAGTCCAGTTGGGACGCACTCTATCCCCCTATTTTTCTTCGTTGGAAATTATGTCATTAAAGTCCCCAATAAAAACTTTATTATTACCCCAAATTTTGTTCCTACTATACAAAATATCCCATTGATTTTTCCTGATTTTATCATCAGTACTAGTATAAACAAAAATGCATCACCAGTTACCAGTATCATTATCAGAGTTCAAAAAAAGTTCAATGGTAAAAAGGGTAGATAAAACATTAACTACCTTTGTGGAATTTTTCCAAAAAACTGCAAACCCTCTAGCTTTACCAACAGGGTCCACTAAAACCATTCCCTCGTATCCTATTTTCTTTTTCACATTCAAAAAAAATTTTTGATTTTTTGTTTCACATAAAAAGATAATATTAGGGGAGTGGAGGTGAATTACCTCCTTAAGACAGGGAGCTCTCTGCCCCTCGACAATTCCATGCCGCAACCTTCATGTGAACTTGAGAGACCAATTTAGGCTGGCTTTCATGACCTCAAATTCTAGTATACTAACATACCCTTGCTTCCGTTTACATCTCTTAGCCGTGACCCCATGAATTTGCATGTGGTTGTCCTCTTCGTCCTTCTCTGATAATCTCCTTTTTGCAGCTCAATTGGAGTTTCACTGTTCATGTCAATATCTGAGAAATGTATCCTAACCACCTGTCCTTGTTGCCCTTTGGCATCTTTCCTAGCTACCCTGATCTACTTTCTGCCTTTATTTTTCATTTCCTTGACGACGGTTGTTGGCTGATTACTCCTTGGTTTGCAGCTGATGGCTCTGGGGCTAAGTTCATGAGAGAGAGTTGTTCTTCTTCCTTTTCGCTAGTTTCATCCAAAATATCCATATGTTTCACCGAGTCCTGTTTTAACTCCTCCTTGTTTTGTGGACTTTTTGGAAGCCAGGCTACAAATTGGGCCTGGGCTTTTGTTACCTTTGACTTCCCCCTGAGCCTTCCTGCCCCCTTCTTGTTTTTTTGTGTTTTCAGATGTAGGCTTACTTTACTTGATTTTCGCCCCGCCCAAATTTGAAAATTGATTTTGGATCTTTCATTCCCTTTCTTTCCCTTACATGATAGAGTCATCTTCCCACTCTTGCCTGACTATCTTCAGTCCGCCATTGTCAGGTCTATTGGTGCCCAAACCTCTTGTCTGGTTAATTATGTAGTCTCCTTCGAACAGAAGTCTCTGGGCAGCAAAGTTCATCGTCTCTTTTGGTTCTCTAGGAACATCTGACTGGAGCTTTGTTCTCTTTTTTGGGGACGCTCCTTTGGTTTGGGCTCTCATCCATGCTCCATATTGAGGTTTGGAATTTCCCCTGGTTGTCCTTGATTTGAGACTGCAAGATTTGTCACTGTGGCCAATTAATCAGCATCCATAGCAAAAATTCGAACACTTTTCATACCTAAAATCCACCCAGATGCTCTGCCCATTTAATTTCACCACGGTTCCTCTTAACAGGAGAAATGATGTGTTTACCACTACTTTCAGCTTCATGTTTCTCCCTACCTTGCTGCCACCCATTGGGATGATAATACCCTCCACATCCTCAAAAATACCACCAATCTTTATCCCTATTTCCTTTGTGAGCCAATGTATTGGCAGGTTCTATAGTTGAACCCAGATGTGCGTCAATTGGAACGCCTCCATTCGGTGATCTATGCCCTCTACCCACGGTTTGATGTTGAGAAGTTGGTTGTTAATTGTGTATGGTCTTCCATTCGGCACCTTATCCATATCCATCACTTCGGAGAAGTTGAATTGAAACAAATTTGCCCCTAGTTCAACTGCCACCATATTCCTTGGAAATCCCCACACTTGGTTGACAAAGTTTTTCACTCCTATGAAATTAACAATTCTTTCTCCCATTATACTACCAAAGAGACTTTTCCTGCATTCCTCCTTACCTATATCCTCATCTACACCATCAAGGATAATTCCTGAGTTTTCTTTGTTGGACAGATCAAATCTATCAAAAACTTCTACCAGTTTATCAGCCATGACTATGGTGAGATATCTAATGGTATTCCAGACTTCTCACCCGATGAGTTTGCTACTATACCAACTCCTCCTTGTTAGTCATGTCTTTTATAGAATTGTGATCTCCGTTTGGTTTGGATTAGCCTGTTTTTCAAATTTTAGTTTTTCAAATACAATATTATATTAATACACAAAAAATAATTCAAAAAACATATGATTCATATAATATATCAAAAATAACTCATAAATATACCAAAAAATTTTTTTAAAAAATAAATTCTACAACAATTTTTACCTATCACCACCCCTTCCTTCCTTTTCCCTCTCCTCCCTTATTTTCTTCCCTCTTCCTCCTCCTTCCCTCACAACTTTTTGGCCGCGATCTTGAGACCAAAGGCCTCATTCTTGCCAAGACCAGATTGAGAGGGAGGAAGGAACGGGGTGTGGGGGAAGGGAGGGGGAGGTAGGAGGAAGAGAGAAAGGAAAGAGAGGGGGGAGGGAGGAGGAAGAAGAGGAAGGGGTGGTTATGGGTGTGTAGAGATAGTAGCGGCGATGGTTGTGAGTAGTAGTATTAATTTTTAAAAAGTAACATAAAAATATTATAATTTTAAAAGTTATCCCAAAATATATTCCAAAAATCCCTCTAAAAATCATAAAAAATATATCTATAGTAAAAAATTTTCATATATACTGTTATAATAAAATATTTCAAAAATACCCCAAAAAATAGCTAATCCAAACGCAGCCCTTATTTATTAGCCAACATAGTTTTCCATCTTTTGCCAGCATTCACATAGTAGATGTTGTGACTCAATTTTGTTTGCATCTTCTCAGGAAAGTCCAAACTCCAAGATCGTGTGATTACGTCTCTCTTATCTTTTGGGGATATTTGCTCTTACTATTTTGCTCCACTGAGTTATATTTTGATGATTTTGTACATGCAGCAATGCACCATCCATAATAAATGAATTATACGTTTTTGGACTCATAAATTAATGCAATGTAGAAAGCATCCTAGTCTAGATTTGATGACTTGGCGAAATAGCCTTGTAGTAGTAGTGAGTAATCATACATACATTGGGGTTAATCATAGAAAGTCCTCTAAGATGTTGACGGATACGGGGCAGGAGCGGTCGTCAGGCCGACCGCTCCTGAACGATCTCCTCACAATAAAAAATGTGAGGAAACAAATGAGCCAAGTCAGGAAGGCTCATTAATATCCAAAAACGACGCCGTTCGAAATAAAAAAATGTTGACTTCCAAACGGGAGCAAACGGAAGAGAAGTATATTTTGAAATTCAAGTTGAAAATTTGAAATAGCCGCAGAAAAAAAAATTGAGAGAAGAGTCTTGGCGTGCTTCTGAAGGTAGTCTATTCTGGCCAACCGCTCACTGAAGGTAGAAAGCTGAAGTTCGGGTGGGATTCAACCTACTGGGTGTTTCTAGGTGAAGTGGGTATAGTCTACTTTGATGAAGGAAGCAATTGACAGAAAAGTGAGTGGAGAGGCAAGCGGCAAGGTAGAAGCAAACAGAGACGAATCCAGAGTTTGTCCGTAAAACTAAATAGCAGAAGCAGCTGTGGTCTTCAACTGGGTATGAGAGTGTTGTATCCATTTTAAATGCGTGCAAGACAGGCGGTAAGGTAGAAGCAAACAGAGAAAATTGAGCATTTCACGAAGCCAAATTTTGTT